AAAACAGATAGTAAGCGAATCCATTGTAGTACCAACTTGCTGGTAATTTATTCTCGTCCGTCACTTCATTCTTTAGCCTAAGGCACACAGGACACGTGCGAAAAGACTATATCATTGGTTAAAATAAACCTATTTTAGAGAATTTTTTTTTTATTTTTATTCTTTCAATAAAATAAAAGGTATTCTTTTTTCGTTTTATATTGTTATTTGCATACCTTAACTAACCATAAATGTTGATATTATCATTTCCTCTGGAAATCTCATCTGTATACTAAATATACATAGACTATAGTAATGCAGATTGAAATACATTGAAATTATCCTTAAATAGAGGAATATATTCGATTATAATTGAGTTTGCGAATTAACTAGAGATAAAGATAATAATGTTTTAAATATTCAAGAAATTTAACAGTATTTAATAATTTTCATTTTTTTTTTTTGTTATTCATCAAATTTAGTTTAAATATTAGCTATGTGGGGAGCTAAAAATATGTAAACGTATGTTAATAATTTTGTTTAATAATTCTATCATTTAAAATGTATTTTGGGAATTGAATTATTCCTTTTAGAGGAACTGGTTTTATAAAAACATAAAAACTTTATTTAAACTCATTGGTTCAAATGAATATGTGTTGTAGGATAACACTGATTTTTTTGCTTGACTTTATATTTGTGAATTATAATAAAGAAAATTGATTAAGTGAAAGAAGAAGAATAAGATTGTAATTAAGAAGAGTTAAGATGATAGTTTCGATAAAAAGATTATTAAGATCTCAATTTCCTTTGAATCAAGTTTTCTCTATAAGTCATGAGATTGCAATACGTAATATGCCGCAAGGGCCAGTAAGTCTCCAGTATAGATACAGGAGTTTGTATGCCAGTAATAAGAGCAGAGAAACCCTGGAGGCTGTTGGGTTCCGCTCGTGCGTGCATTTAAACAGCTCTCACTAGTATTCCTGAAACGTGGAAGGACTCAGAGTATGGATGAGCGTCCTAGAGTATGCACTATTGTATGCGTAAATGCCTGGAGAGAGAGTAAATGTGGACGATAGGGTCGAATTGCAATTTAACGCGTCAGCTCGTCTTGTTGATGGACACATGTGTTATGTCCTGACTATACTCATGAGACTTACGTGAACATTAATCCATAAAGAATAGTATCCTAAGATAATTTAGGGGATAAGGACTAGAGGGAAGAAGTGAAAGATGAAGTAGTTTAGGTACACTTTCACGACTCAACTAAGTCCAGTATTCATTTACGAGCCAAGAAAAACGTGACCCATTTAGTCGTTAATGTAACGTGCAAAGCATCTCTATAAAAGGGAGACTTGTTGGCACAAAAATGAGCTGTACTAGAGGTGACAAAGTCAAAGCTTTTTTATTCAGTAAATGGGACAATTGGTGAATTTTCTCGAATTTTTTTAACATTCATAAAATTGTCGTGTGATTTATATTTTTTATCGGGTTGTGTTAAATGTACGTGTTGAGGATTAAAAAGATTTCACAATCTGCTTAACTCTAGTGTCTTTTAGGCTGCTGTTTATCAAAAAAAAAAAAAGTGTGAAGAAAATAATTATTTATCGTATTAAGTTTTTGAAATAAAAAATTCATTTAAATGCTGAAACGTTACTAAAATATGAGAATTAAATATGTTTCATTTTTAGTAATTCAAAATTTGATTAAAAATTTTAACATAATAATTAAATTATCTTTCACAATTATTCATTTATGTAACATAATGTCTTTTGGTCACCTTCATTTTTTAATAAGCTTTTTTTTTTGAGCTTTATCAAATGAATAATAAATAACATTATGTCAGATAAAAAGAATATCTTTATATATTTATTTACTCGTCTATTATCTTTAGATAAAAGAAATGTATTCCGTTCGACAGTTTTGAATGGTTGTTTTGCAGCCTTTCTCCCTTTAGTCTCTATTTCGTTCGATAGACTTCTGTCGCTTTCAAAAAGAAACCACATTCCTGGTATCCATCGTACGTCCAACTTATCGATTCCACGGCAAGACGAAGACGACTCTGTCTCTTTCGATCTTTTCTTCATACCACAACCACCCACATCATGCATTTCTTTAAAAGTCTCCTCTTTCTGAAGACATTCATCGTCCACTCTATACCTTCACACTTGTCTGGAATTTTCAATCGTGCATTTCGTCGATATATAGAAATACATGCTGAGAATTAACAAAGCGAGAGGTATTCAAGTTATTTTATCTCAAAGCAGTGTTGAATAAAGGTATATAAATAATAATAAATATAATGAATAATACATAACATTGTATAACATAGTTACTTGAATAGAAAGTTCAAAGTAATGATACTAGCAAATTTATAAGTATACTTTAAATATATAACTACATCATTAAATGCAATCATTTACAGCGTGTAAATTAAAAAGCAAACGGCAATTGTATAAAGAGGAAAGTTAAAATTTCCATGTTATTTAATTGATACAATAAATCAGACAATATAATTCAAGACGATGGTTTACAAACTAATAGAGGGTCCTTGAGGTTTGCTTTACTTATTTAAAAGGGAAAAAAGCTTGAGAGCAGAACTCGTGTCTGGTGCAAGTGTTTTTGCGACTTCCAAATAACATCGAGAGCTTGTTACCACGATGCATTATTCAGGGCCGGGTTTTATGCCATTCATTAACGACGATATTTCCGCTCCTTGGATTTCAAATTAGTTTCATCACACGGTGAATCAAGCCAGTGTACCTTTGAAATACTATTCAAACGTAAATACAAACATATCGCATTACGTTCAATCAAATGCATCGATTCTTCTTGTGTGTTAGTTGATGACTGTGTTCTTCTTTTACTCAGTCAGCTCGTATTGTTATCATCTATGTAAATTCACCGAAGAACCAACCGCGTCAAGTGGCAGCTTTGCACGGTAGCATATCTTATTAGAAACAAATATTCATGTCACATACCAGGCGCCGGCTGGTGCCAAGTGTTTGAATGCTACCCCTTACACTAGACACGTGCGCTGGAGATGCTCACCGTTTCCTGGAGTCGACATAATATCCTACAAATTTTCCTTTATTTTTCAAAACATCTTCCAAACAAGAGTTTACATTTTTTTGTACTAAGAAATACTGCAAACTTGAAATTGTTCTTATAGTCTAACGCAACTCGTCCATCGCAAATCGGATAAAGAATAAAAGAAACTAAAGCTCAAAACACAGTAAAAAAATCCGCTTTTCTTCTTTCCTATTCTTTTTTTTATCTCCTTCTTCTCTCATTCACTCTCGATCTCCTTTATCATCAAGAGTGATGCAAACGTGTTCGACGAGCTATATTTTCCGCGACCATTATACTCAGCGGGGGTAATAAAATATAAACCGCACAATTACTGAGATCTCAAGTTCGCGAAAGAAGGGAAATAAAATCAGCATAAAAGCGAGCCACCAAATGGTGCCAGCAGACCTTAATGAAAGCTACCAGCGTGCTCTTAAGGAGTGTAAGGAGGAAGACGATAGAATAAGAGGAAGCTTACTAAGAGAAAGGAAGACATACAGGCCCTTAAATTAATTCACGATGAATTACGTCCGCGCCAGATGTTCGGGCAGTTGTGTTTATTTATGAAGGAACCAGAATCTTTTTCAAAAATTAACGAAAGATTTATTTGTGGCTCGTGCGCAATCAGTGATATCTTCTTCAAACATCTACATCGCTTCTTAAACTCTATAAACCTTTGATAAACTTTCATTATTTATATCTCGTGGTTTATTTTCAGTAGGAAAAATATCAGACTTTAAATTATTCTTGTGTTTCACAAGTACTTTATTTTCAGTTTACAATCCTCTTGTGGTACATGTCTCATCTTTAAATATTACTTTTAAGTGAACAGAAAATATGCTTTATCAACAGCTTAGAAAATATTTCATCGAAAAATTAACATCTTCTCTTCATTTCAATTGTTGTTACTTAATTTTAAAGAGAGAGAGAGAGAATGGATATTGATTATAATTATTTTTATAAGCAATATAAAAAGCACCATCTATAATCCTAAGTTGTCGTCAGTACTTTTTTTTTATTTCATCTATGTTTAAAAATAAACTTTTCTTCAAAGAAACGCAGTTGTGAATTTTCTTTTACATCAATCTCACGATACTTTTATGTCATCTGCAAGATCTATTTCTGCGCCAGCAATCAAATCATGTCACGTCAATGTAATGCTAATTGTAACTTAGCTAATTGTGTCTTGAATAAAAGCTATCTCATCGAAAAGTTGTATCATTTAAATATTTCAATCGACGTTCTTTACATGATGTATATATATATGTATATATTTTACAATCATACACAAGAGTTTACGAACACCTGAAGTTACTCACTAAAGGTGGATGTTATTCACAAAACTTTCCTCCCTGATTATATATTCATCATTCCATCTGGTGATATTATTATTTACACTTATTGTTATATATAATACACGAACATGTTTCGTCTATCTACCTTGAACACATCCGAGAAATTCTGCATTTCAATTTGCATAAACTTTTAAATAATAATTATTTTTGTTTTTTACGCGTTCATCCCAACATTTGTTTATACTTAAGTTGGTAATAACAATATTACACAATAGTATCATTTTCACTAAATTGGAAAACACAATTTTTTCTGTATAAATTGATTCCATTGATATATCACCTTTCAAAAAAAAAATATATTTTTTTATTGTTTATTTATTATATAAATTGATATGACCCAGAGATGTATCATTTTATATTGATAGATTTTTATACTTTGACAAAAATAACTACAACGAAAAAATTTTTTATCTCTTATAATCTAGAAAAGGCATTGAATTAGAAAATTAATTGCTCTTAAAGAATAATTAAAAAAAATAATTATATGTTATTTTCTTACTGAATGTTTTAATAAGCAAAAAAAAATTGTTTTTTATTCACGAATTAATAATTAAATTTCCAAACTTTAGATTTGACTACTCATAATGAATTCTCATCGATCTATATTACCAAGTTTTTAAAAATTATTTAGTCAAATTTGTTTCCATTGTTATTATTTTTACTACAAATATCCAAGTATGCTCCCAGTTTCTCATGTTGTTTATAATTTAAATTAAAATATTGATAACAAATAATAAATATCTTTATTACATAAAACATTTACTAACGATATGTTTTCGTCTATCCCTCCACTTGTAATAACAATACTATGCTATATGTTTAATGAGTTATACATTAAGCATTCACAATATATTTATTTATATATATTTAAGTCTTTTTATAAATATTTTCCTTCACTTAATTTATTTTAATATTTTTTTTTTCATATTAATCTTTTCTTCCAGTCTTGCAGCTATAATAGCAGGATATTTATAAAAGTGAAAAAAATCTTAAAAAAATAATTAAAATCACTGAAAAATTAATATCACGATGTAGAAGAGATAGGGAGGATGCTGAAGAAATTCGATTGCCTGAAGATGAACTGGTGCCTGAAACAGGTCGTCGTCTGTTTATTTTCACAGTAGGTGATGGACTGGAAGCTCCTCCGAATGGAATACCGATATGTCCCTGTACTGTATTGTCAACTGAATACGCTTTATTTTCCATTTTTTCAATATCTGTTGAACCATAAAATACATCTCCATCTATTTCTTCTTCTTCATCGTTGTACGATGGTAATATACCATTTTGTGATTTCGATGGTCCTGATATTTCTATAATTACAAATACATCTCGAGTTAATTAAAAACAAGTTATTTTTATGTTTGATTAGAATAATGAAAAAAAAAAGAAAGGAAATAATATTGAAAATTATTTGATGACTCACCGTACAAACGAATGCTGAAATCAACGTCACCGAGTGAATTTTTAGCGGCACATTTATATGATCCAAAATCCTGCTTCTGCAGATTTCGGATAGTAAGGATCATCTTCACTTGAAAAGCAGACTGAGTTATTGCTTGAACGTCATGTCTTGTGCTTGTGATGATCATTTCGACTGCAAAATTAAATTCTGCATTGAGTCTTATATAAAACATATAGATATACTCAATGGTTTTTAAATGTTTGCTTATTTTGTGAATGCCACATTTATGTATGATAAAATAGTAATATTCGTGTTTTACTTGATTTTGAATATTGTTAAAAAATTAATTTGTAAAAATTATTCAAGTATAGCAGTTAATTAAGTCCGATAAGTCATTTAATAGGGAAAGCTCTAAATAAAGTTTCTTATTCGACGAAATAAATTTATACATAAAATAAAACTAAAATAAATATTTACTGTTAATCCTTAGAAAATTGGGGAAAATTAATTATTTGATATAAATTGTATTAAAATACCCTCTATGGTATTCATGAAATTAATTTTTTTCTAGAAAAAAAAAACTCGTTTTTATATCTTGTAGCAAAAATTTTTCATTTAGATTACTCGGATGTCAGTGACAGTAAAGAATAAAATGTTAATTAAATTGTTATGTATATTTATTTATTGCTATATTTTTATTTAGATAAACATTTAATTTTTATTCAGAAAAAGATTTAAAAACTATTCGTATAAAATTTGGCATCAACGTAGTAATTTTTTCCATGTGAATTATTCACCTAGACACAGCTAGCTCATTAACTGCAAACGAAAGCTTCGTCATGGATGTGATAAAGATAAGCTAATTGGAAAAAAACATAATCTTTGAATAGGTTTTGTTGATTTCTACGAATTTAGATCAGCTTGAATTAAAATAATTTTTTCACTGATTTGTATTGCTCAAAAGAAGACTATTCAATTTCAAAAAAACCAATACCAAAGAAATATTTTTTAAGCTATTGAAAAAAAATAATCTATTGGAGTTTAATAGCAAATTAAAAAATAGTACATTTATCGAAATAAAGTCGTAAAAAATGCACCAACTACTCTAAATGATGAATAGGATATCTGTTTTGAATTATTAAAATGAATTCCATTAATCTCTAACCATTTAATTACCAGAATTTTGACCTAAATCAGGCTAAGCAAATACTTAGATATTCAATTGGCGTTTTTGAAGTTATAAAAAATAATAAATAAACTGTACGCTTTTACGGTTAAACTATTTTATTTATCGCAGAGAAGCTTAACACAGCTCTCTAAAATAAACAAGAAAAGAAAGACGTTTCCTGACGCCTGTCATGTTTCTCCCTTCTTCACCTTGGAATTCTCCCTCGCGCTTAGTTGGCCGGGATCTCTAGCACCTATAGAGTTCCCAAGAACCGCGAATGCGGTAGCTCAGGGAATTCCAAGTTTATAGAAAGTTCGTAGAAGAAGCTTTGCTCGCTCGAATGATCTAAAATCGTTCGGAAACAACTGACACCGGTCAGTGGAAAATCAGAAGCATGAATCCCACGATATCAATAATAACAATAATAAACAATCAACTTTTCGATAGACTCGAAAGGTTATCAAGGTTTTCTTACCATTATCTTTCATCCAATAATTGATCGACTTGGGTGATGCCTCGACAAAGCATTCTAAGGCCACGTCGGTACCCAGCGGTGCTCCGACCAGTTGATTAGGGACGTGAATTACTGGAGGAACTGCAAACCGAAAGCAACGATACTATGTAACATCTGCAAGAGAGATTGTAACTAAAAGTTGGAGAGCAAGAGCCACCGCATGCCCGTAGGTTTGAGAACCAACTTGAACAGCAGCAACACGCGTATATACTCTCTTCAGCATCCATCTCACACCTTTCCATATAGTTTTTCTCTTTCTCTCGCTTTCTCATTTGCCAGCATTTCCAACTCCTTGCTTCCCCTTATTCGCTTCAATCCTCATCGCAACAACCCTCCAGTCGTCTACCTACCCGCCAGTTGCGTTTTAATTACTAATTATACTTACAATGAACGTTGATCGTGATGCGCTTACTGATGGCCGGTGGCACTCCGTTGCTTGCAATACACAGATACGCTCCCATATCGTGTCGTGATATCTTTGTTAGCCTCAATTCTTCACCATGATACTCACTTACTGAAGAAACTGAAACATTTCATTTCACATTGAAACTCGTGATACATCTTAAGGTCAACAGGAGAAAACTATTTTCATCCAGATTTTTTAATCACCTTAGTTCCATATAGACAGTGACATGGATATCTTTGAAAATCGATTCTTTAAATAATTTATACCAAGAAGAGTCGTTTATCAGATATTAATTCTTCATTTAATATCAAGAATATATAATTTATCTGTACTTTTATAGAAATATATTTTATTGATATATCAATTAGTTGAAAATTACTTTACATCAGAAATGAACCAGAGTAATGATTTGTTGAAGTGGAAACTAAATATTTAGATGATTATGAAATTTAATTTTAATACTATATTCTCAATTATCTTATTTAATTTTCGTAATAATTATTGAATAATCATTATTTATTGATTATTAACATTAAATTAATGATTTCAATATGGTTCATAATTATTCTGGATAAGTTATATTCATTTTAATAAACAAATAAAAATAATTCTTTACAAGTATATGTAAAGTAGAATATTATTTATCATTAATGGCCTTTAGCTGAGTTGTTGCAATATTATTGACATATATTAATGATATTTGTTATTAATATTAATAACTATATTTACCCTTACAAATAACTCATATTAATTTGATAATTTTCATCTAACTATCTCTATTGACTCATGCGATTTCGCAATACAAATAAAAACATTTATCTTCAAATAATATTCAAATTTTTACTTCGTCGAATAAAAATTCACATGATTGAATCACCCTTTTTAAAAAAGTAGTTATTTAACGTTTAAAATTTTTAATTTATTTGAATGAATTTCAAATGAAATTAAAACTCAAATTTATTGGTATTCTATCTTTGGGCATTTTCAAGTAGCGATTCAGCTTTATTGAAAAAGCATTTATTTATTTATGATCATTATGTATTACCTTTAGACTTTTGACCACTAGCAGAAATAACTGGTTCTCGAATAACGATCGTTTTATTGTCTTCACGTTTCCAGATGACACGTGGATCAGGTTTTCCTTTAGCTCGACATGTCAGCTTCACCTGTCGGCAGTAATTTGGTAGAAAAGATGAAAATTGAAGTAAGAAGATGCATTCAAGTGGATAATACACAACGAAAACACTTTCTCAGATCCAAAATACGATGACTTTGTGTGTTTACTTTATACCTCAAGGCCACTATTTACACGTACACTAAGTTCGGAAATTGAGGTACTAGCTAGTAAGTACAGAGTGTAAAGATATGAAGGTATGTTACATAAACTAGGTGAATTGAGTGTATCTATTAATTTTTACAATCAAACTAATATAAATTAAATTGAACTTTTCAATGAATTTACAGTAATTGATATTTAATTGATAATTAAAAATATTTATATTCATTCAGTGTTTAATTACCTGACTACCTTCACTAACCATCACGTCTCCTGAAGTTTCTTCAGTCACGAAGTCCGGTGGTACTTCGATGGAAAGCATTCCAGTCTAAACAAAAAAATAAATGCCAATTAAAATTGCTTTCATTACTTATTTTTTAGTTTATTGTTACAAATATTTGAATAAATATTTGTACCTTAGGAAAATATACGAGATCGAAGTTTGTATAAATACGCTAGGATGTATACTATTGAAACGCTGGTAGGTATGCTGATACCTTTTTTTTCTTTCCTTTATTGGATTCAGTGAAGATAATTCTAAAAGGTACTATTGCTTGAGAATGTACTTATTTTAGATAAAAATTATTATGATTTTCTGATTAATTATTGTTCAGTATTTGAAGCTTATATGTCTGGATCATCTACTAATCTGTTGATTCTAATTAAAACCTCTGAACAAGGTAAACTCCATTGTGTAATTTAGCGCTTTATCGCTCAAAAGATATTTAAACTTTTCAAATATATAATATCATTGAAAATGTGCTCTCTAAAAATGGAACAAATGAAAATAATAAAATACACTAAAAAATCAATGAATATCCACTGATTTTAGAGTGTATTTCACTGTTTCATTTTTAGAGAGTAGTGATTACGATTTCGGTTGATGAATTTGTAATTTTTTATTTTCAAATAAATAAAAATTCAGAAAAAACGAGCATGAAAAAATACCCGTAAAAAATTTGAAAAAGTACTCGAGAAAGTTTTAGCAAATAAAATCAAGAATAATAAAAATTTGTAATTGTTTTTTTCGATTCTTCAACTTCTGGGAAGGACAACAAAAACTATTTGCATCGGTTCCATAGGATTTAAGAGACATTTCACTTTGTTTTCTAAATTTGTTCTTTTTTATTACAGTATTTTTCCACTAATGAAAAACTTCTTTTATGAAGTATAAAATCCATATACTTAATAAACTATTAAAATTTAATATAAAGAAGAAATATTCGCTTATATAAGATAAATTTAAGATGCTAAAGAGTAAAATAAAATCACTCTGTTAATAAATAAAATTTTTTGTCACCTGCAGGTTGTTTAGGTGACCTAGAAAAAAAGTAATACAAAAATTTTCTAAATTAATAAAGTCAATGAATGATAAATGACTTTGATCAATTATGCATGTCAATAGGAAAATCTATCGAAACTCAGCAATTAATGCATTCAATAATCAGTAAAACTTAAAATGAGATATTTTTTAATTTCATTAATATACAAAATGCTAGTGGAAAATTCTTAACAAGATTTAAATGGATAAAACATCAAACTCACTTACGCAGAAAAGATGAGAGTACGTAAATAAAAGAATGTCATGAAAAACTTGAGCTCAGAGAAATGTCTTTCACTGAAAGCATATGCGTTCGAAAATCTTGGTACAAAGAAAATTTATAAAGAACACTCCTTTCTTAGGTAATTTAATAAATGGATGAATATCTAAACTAAACCATTATTTAATTTTCTTTACTCGAATAAATTCAATCTAAAGCTCAGATGTCAGAATGCAGTCAAAATGCTAATGAATGATATTAAAAAAACATTAAATTAATGTCAGGAAAAATTATAATAGGAATTTATTAAGTTGTTAAAGTACTTAAATATAGATAACGTATTACGCATGTAATTATCTCAAAGTCAGCTTGCCAAGGAGGTCACAAGTAGAGGACGCAAGCTCTGAACTTCAATCATTATAACTAAGTTGTCTCGTTGCCTCTATCTTGTCTCTTAGTACTCACACAGAAGGCGCCTACCTCTTGAAATACCGCTGTAATAAGTGAAGACACACTACGGCATTTTAAAGAGCAACTAAAATATTAGGAACTCACAAAAATGCCCAATTATTTTTCTAACAAACTCAAGAAGCACTGAGTCAGCGGAAAGTAAGTAATTTCAATTTTTTCCTCTTATCTTAACAACAATTTATAAATTTTATTAATAACATCAAGTAATATTTAAATAATATGATATAGAAACCTCAATTTTCCTCATTTTCATTTTACCTCAAAGCTTACATTAAATGAAGAATGCTTTGTATTTAACAAAGCCCAACAACACATAACAATTCTGACATGTTTGGGTATTGTGAAATAAATTTCAAGTGTAATTTTTGATGTATTTGATGGTAGAATTATTATTTTTTCATTAATTTACTTGATAGTACAGTTAATAATAAATTATATTACAAGAGATGGAATTTTTATACGGATAATATTGTTTTATAGTCATTAAATAAAATTATAAATTTAATATAATTAAATAACAAGTTATTTTCAATTATACCAAATACTGAAGAATATTAACATTATATTATTAATCTTAATTCCATTATATATTATAATTACATTTGTTTAAAACATTACATTTAGATTTAGTCAGAGTGAGAAAAATGATTTTACTTTAATCAAAGTTATAAGGTATGTTCTATCTATATTTTTTCTTTTTTAAGTATCAGTTTTTACAAGAAATCTTCTGTCGGATTCAACATCTACTTAAACTACTTTTCTATTAATGAACTCCTTGATCAATTTTTTTCTTCAACTTTATGAGTTAATTTCATCAATCTTGCATGTCATCCCAAGATATTATTTATAAACCGTAAATGATGAAACAATGACGAATAATATAGCAAAGAAATGACTAAAGTTTCGTGAGAGACGCAGATGTCTAGATGACACGTTAGTCGTTTACTGCTTTGAACATATCCGCTAGCCCCTCTAAGCCCCTTTTTTTTCTCTCCCTCGTATGTCCTGCTTTTCTTGTTTTATTCGCAAAGACTTGGTATTTGCCAATACGCATTGTTCATCAGTGGTTTCATGAAGGAGATGGTGTATATAATCCAACTGTGTATGTTTCACGATGAATCAACTAATTGGGAAAATAGTTTCAGAGTATTTTGGATCAATAAGATGATATAAAAAAGCAAACACAAAATCTGGTTACTAATTGCCTGTGTTATTCTAGAATTGCAATACAAAACCAATCGATTAAACCAGAAAAACAATTACTACCTTTCCATCTCTACAGACTTTTTTATGTTTAATCAAATGGTCATTTAATACGTTTACCTGGTGAAAAGATATAAAGAATTCCTGTCGCTTTTCATCATATTATAAAGTAACACTATCTCAATTTCTGTCCAGAACAACAAGCCAATTACTTTTCGTTTTCAGAAGAGCCCAGTTACTCTAATTTCACTGACAAATCTCTCTGTAGAACTTGCTTCAAATCAAATTTAACTTATATACGGGTATATTCGTCTTTAAATAAAGTTTTTACCTCTTGGTAGCATACAAAGAAATAATATTGAACCGTAATTAAATTGTAATCCACATCAATTAATTACTTTTTTATAAGGTTAATGAATTCAGTGGTTTTTTAAGCTTATACCCTAAATGAATTTCTAGCCAACTTATTAGTTTTTTTTCTATTTTTATTATTGTACTAAAGTTCGAGGAGTAACAACTTTTCTGAAAGAACAAATTTTACAGATGATAATTGTTTTTAACTTTATATTCTACAACTAAGTAGAAAAATTGTTATTGTTTTTATATTTAATAAAAAAGAATGGTGTTATGGTGATAATTAATATGTATTGAATTAATTTTTAATTTTATTAAGGAAAAAATTTTTATTATTGAAGAAATTATTACTTTCACATTTGAATATTTTACCACTTAGCGATCAAGTGCAGTTATTGAATGAAATACTTTGTAAATTATGAAAAGCTCTCTACCAATCGAATTTCAGTCTAAATGATGAAATTGTATTAAGAACATAATTTTAAAATTAGAGAGCTATATATGACTTTGTGAGCATAATTAAATTATTTCAAATCAATAATATAAATAACTCGATGACAGGGAATATATTATTGGAGACAATTAGTTAAAAACTTGGATTTTAGGCTAAAATAAGTAATATAGTAAAAAAAAAGTACTTAACAATATTTAATCGATAAATTTTGCAAGTTAAATATTTAATTTGTGGTATCTGTCATCGGCAGAGTGATTTTGCAATTAGTTGAAAAGCCTGTTACAATATTAAATTCACCAAAGACGCTTATGAATATTATGAAAGTGAAGCAAAGGGAAAGGTGAAGAAGAAGAAAACAAGACCCGAAACTTTGATGCGTCGGAAAGTTGAGTTGGACCCTGAACAACTCGCAAGACGGTATTACCTTCGCTTCTAAAGCATTATGGGAATGGAAGCTACTTATGGTATGAGTTTAATTCAAGCACGCTCACCAGAGAGTATTTACCAGATCCTACAGTAGTCAGTCTTGAAGGAGGAGATGAAAGAACATGATCTTTTCATATTTTTATTTCTCGTTAAAACTCCTTGGTAATAAGACATCAAGTTAGGTAATTGCAATATTTCTAAAGGGATTTGACTAATGATGAAAATTCAATTTTTGAATAATGACATTGAGGAGACTAAAGTCAACCGTTGGCAGCTTCATTTTGGATTTAACAAACTGGTGAAACTTGGCCACTCAAAGCTTATAGAGGTCATAATTAATGCTTCCCAGCACGCCGTCGATCGTTCATTCTCAAGCCATGAAATTAACCCGATCAGTGCGCTTTGCGCTGTATAAACTGGAGGAAACCAAAGAGAAGAGGTCGAGGATGAAAAGCAGAGGATTGGAACTATAGATTAGCGTATTCTCGATTCATTGCCGAGTGCTTTTGATTGCTTTATCAGTATAGATTTTACCTTCATCCGAGCTTCAATGTACTACAGATCGTTGCATGTTTAGACAAACCAATACGTCACAATATCGTTAAACCTACTCGACTCCTCATTCAGTATTATCATATTCTCTGGTAATAAAATTTATCCAATCATAGATGCCGATTTTATATCGTCAGGAAACCATTACATACCTGACTCTTCATTGGATCTGTGTTTATTTGACACATGTATAGGCCTGCATCCTCTAATTGTACACCTTTGATGTGAAGATTCCACATTGAATGATCACTGTGGGAGACCAAAACTCGAGGGTTATGGGTTATCACATGATCATGGATCGCTTGGATAGCCTTTGTGTCAGCTTTCACCCATCCTACCTGTTAACGTTGTAAAAAGAAAACAATCAATGATCTTCAGGTTAAAAATAATTGAATGTCACCCACACGAACTTCTAGATATGCCTCTTATTGATGTTATTGTCACCGATAAATTATTTGTGTGTGTGTTTTTTTGAATTATTATTTTTTAAGAACTTCTTTTGATAAAATAAATATTTCGGAGATGAAAAATCTCCTGTTGAAATTGACTTGGAATTAAATGATTTTTTACAACTGGTTTTAATTTTACATTTTTTGCTTCTCAAGGAGAAAAATTCTGCTTTAAGTCGTCCTATTCATAAGCGTCTGGGTGAAAAAAATATGAGTGAATAAAATTCTTTTCTCAGCAGATAAAAATTTTCAAATAATTTTATTAGTTACTGTAATTATGATTATGTAAGTTACTTTTAATAGTTATAATTTTTTTCGTATAAAATATTATCAAAAGCTAGATATTCTCTGATATATATTTTGTTGGATATGAAATAAATGGATAAGTTATATGAATGAAAAATATTATTCTTGAGTTTTAATAATTTATTTTATCAAAATATTCTTATCTGTAAAAGTTGATTTTATTTATCAAATGCTAAAAAAAAATAAAACAAAACACACAAAACAAAATCAGTATAGCAATTATATAAAGTCATTAGAAATTGATCAAAATTTAAATTTATAAGCTCATTAATTAGAACTTGTGTAGAGTTGTTTTTACTATGTTTGAAAAAAAAAATTAATTAACCAATTAAGTGGATGTTTATACAATATTTTATGTAACGATTTATGCCTCATTATTTATAATTTGTTTATCTTAAATGGAATCTTTTTACGGAAAATAGCATTTCCATTATATTATTATAAAACCAATATTTAAAGAATATATATTAATAATAATTCACTTGTATTTTATCAATAAAATGAATTGATCAATTTACGTTATACTGACTAGTATTTCAATAATTTGATTAACGCAATTGTTCAATCGTAAAACAAATGTTTAACAACTTCCCTTCGAAAATATGTTACGAAAAATTACTAGTTGTTTTTGCTTTTAATTAATTGTAAAAATAATAAAACAAGTATCTACTAATAATTGCGTTTATTGATAAATATAAATCAATAGTAGATAATACTATAAATTTTTGTTATTGAGAAAAACAGTGGAAATTTATGATAAAAATAATTTTTTTTTGTGCAATTTATGCCAATCACAACATCGAAATCATCAACATTTTCAAACTGAAGTTTTAAAAATAATAGATAAAAAGTTTCTCTGATAAATAATAAACTGATAAGTGGAACAAAAAAAAATGTTTGATAATTTATTGAGTAATCTTATCACAAAACAGTTCTGAATGAACATAGCTTTGCAGGATTACCATTAAAATATGAAATTAGTGATCTTCTAATGAATATACATGAGAAGAATCGTCTTAATTAAATATCATAATCAGACAGAATTGAGACTGAAAATGGATAATTTACGTACTCTATATCCGCCCAAATGTTCTACTAAACATGTAAACATAGCGTCCCTCCCTAAGGGAACAGTGAGATTAGCGATTGGGGCTGCAAATTCCGGTTGAAATGCACCACCTGCAAATCACAAAGAGGAAGAAATTATTTTATGTTTTGTATTGTGCTGAAATGTAGCTAAATGAGCAACTTTGCTCCTCGACCAACAAATAGTGCGGCCTGAGAGCTAGAAGAGGAAAATTACGTTTCGTTTTCCCTCATCTCCGTGTGCAGCCAGAAATTTCTAACTAGCTCGACGGTACGCAAGCGAACCGCATGGAACACAATAAGGGGCTGAATAGGAACTGACAGTAAAGCCGAGTGTGAAATAAGCTACAAGAAGGTATAAGCAATCTAGAGTATTTACTTTGAAAAAAGGGTAAAAAAAGGAATATTTTTTAATATTAAACCGATTCAAATTTATGCTTTATTTCTGAAAATTAAATGCCAATAATTTTTATCTGATAAAAAAGTTACAACTGAGTTATAAAACTTTTCTTCGACAGTTTGCTTAATCAAATTTTTAAGCTCAATTGTCGCATCACTGAAGGGACAACTGAAGGTGGAATAATGAATAGAATCTCGTGAATTTTCCATAGTGAAAATTTATTCAAGATTCTCTTCAATAATAAATAGTTACTTTCCCAAACCATCTGTCGCTCGAATTAACATCAGAATTATTTGACATCAAGTTTTTCTTTTCTACTTTTACACCTGTCTCCCATCTCTTGGGGCGCAAGATCTTGCAATTGTGCAACACTCGTTGACACTTTCCCCAGTGTCTGCGTTATGTGAATAAACTGCAGTTTGCGAGCTAAAGTACAAAATGCTGTGTACTCGGCGTTACTACATTGGACAATCGGTCCATGGAGACTCCACGACTTGTTTTCCAAGACAACAACTCGTCGAGTTTATTAATATTATATTACACTAACATTAATTATTTTTATTCATTTATTTGTTTTATAACTTACCCAAGTTATCGTTCGGATAAATCAGTAGAGCAATTAGCATCGCCCAAAGGACTTTGCCACGTTGTACCATGTTGTAAAAATCATTGAAGCTACTAAGTAAAAAATCAATTAGTTTAAATATTCATCATCTAATAAATATTTAATGAAACAAAAAGAAAAAAAAATTATGCAGCTTGTGAGAAAGAAAAAAATTCGTCGCTTTCTCTGTATGTTTCAAAATAAATTTTATAAACATAACTTTTTGTTAGTAGCACAAAAATTGCACGGTTGAATAATTCTCATGGGAAGGATATTCCACGTTCAAGTTGGTTACGACACTATGCCGTGGTTCTAACGGCATATTAACGCTCTAAAGCTTCTCTCTCTCATCCTCGCCTGTAAGCGAGACTACCCCACGAAAAATATGCATGTGTATTTTTATGAAAACTGACTATATAAACTTCCAAGACAATAAATCCTCAAAATTCCTCAGATCTAAAGATTATACTTTTTAACAATTTGAAACTGAAATAAAAATCAAATTATTTCCACATGAATAATTATATTTCTACCAACGAAAAATTTTAATTTATAATTAGACAACTTTTGCTTATTTACACGGTATGTTTTCAATAATTAATTCATTAATTACGATCTCGTTTTAATGAGAATATCTTTTATCGTTTATTTTTTTGTTTTTTTTTCAAACTTTCCATAGCTTAAACAAGAAACAATAAAGTCCACTGAATAATAACCCTCTATCACAAACTACGAATTTAAATCTCAATCTAACAATTATTATACGGAGTGGATTGAGGAGCAAAGATAAACAAGATGTATTAACAAGAGGAAGATATAGGATTGCGACTTCAATACTATCGGTATTTATGGCTTTAGAACATTCACGCAGACGTATCGTATTTGGACAGCTCGAACTTGTAAGCACTAGTTGGTAAAGCCTGGGACTTTACCAAGATTAAAGATCGGTTTGCACCAACCGACCAACTATCGGATAAAATTATTCCAAAGGAATTAGCAACGTATTATTATTTATTAGTTTAAATTGGAGGCACAGAAGAATTGGAAGCGACTGAAACAGGAAGATGATAAATGAAATGAACAAGAAAAAAAAAAACATTAACAAAGGTAAACGAGTTTCTTATTCTGTCCTTGACATTCTTACTAATGATCTACTTCTTTTTTGCATAAGAATAAACGAAGAAATCAAAATGACCACATTCATGGCACGTGATGAATAGCTTTTCAGATTCATTCTTTATATTCTTTCTCGTTTGATAAAAGGGGAATAAACCTACCGGCGAAATTTTTAACTATTTTTTTGACTATTTATTATGCACCATGCAGCCAACGAGTGTAAGGAAATCGTACTTAAGGAAAAGAGAAAGGTTTGAGAGAGTGGGAAAGACGCGCTAGAAAATTAGCGACGTTCACTGTTGTAAAGAATTATGAGCGTCTTGCTATTCTTACTCTCTTTCTCGTGCCATAGCCAAACTACTTGCGAACATTAAGGGTCATTACAATGGCTATAAATTGCGGCCACCGTCCGCCGTAATATTTATGTTATCAATTTCGGGCCTATTTTTACTACCGAGGACTGACAATAAAAACTTTTCTTCTCTTTTTATGATGCGTCGAGAGTATTCATAAGACACATAAGTGTGCACAGGAAATGATATTTTCTTTTTTTACTATCTATTTTATACCTTATTTCATTCTGGTTACGTAATCAAGGAATATCGGAATTTTTTTTACTTGATGCCTGACCAATGATTGATTCATACTACTGAATTCAAATAATTTCAGTTTTTTATGTAATTAAATGTCTTAATCTTCGATAAAGTTGATGTAATAATGTCTTCTGATATTAGTAATCATTTTGGCTTACCTCACTGATCTTCGGGAAATTCCCAGTGTCAATTTACGGAACTGGCGAAAGAGACAATGGGAACTTGGGAGAAATAAAAAGGTAGAAAGTCGGTTTTAATATACATAAGTATCTACTTAAACTTTGTGCAAACTTTCACTACACTTTTGCACTTGAGCTGTTGTATATACCATTATGTCATGAGAGTTCATAATAGTTTCACTATGTTCGCTTCCTAACTTAACAAACATTTAACAGATGTAGTCAAGCTATCACAAATTCACCAAACCCTGAAATTATTTTTCCGACGAAGATTGATGTGTTTAAACACGTGAGTATTAGAGGTCGATGATGGAGATCCAAATGACTTCTGATTACGACTGTCGGCACGGATAGTCGCCGGTAAACTACTTGGCCCGTGTTGAAATCTGCCTCATGGTTTGGAACGAGCGCGAGGATGAAAGAGGCGGTGAGGACAATACGCGCAGACTCGGTGGCGCGTTCTAATGTTGAAGAATGAAAAAGTAAACCAAAGAAAAAAAAACAGTTGGAAAGGAAGAAAAAGGATAAAACATGGTACAGAAGCTAAACCAAGACTGATTAAATCTGAAGGATACAGGACATGGGCCACGACACTGTCGTATCAAAAAGACAAGAAGAGACTTTTGTTAATTTGGCATATCGCGAGATACTCGACAAGCTTGAAAAATTAAGCAAGAAGACTGGAAAGAAACTCTGATTATATTTTATTTCTTTATCAAGTTCTATTATTATTATGTTTTTTTTTGTTTTTTATTGAAGCATCTAGATATGTGTATTTATATGTTGTTGGAATACTACTTGTTGATATCTGATATAGGTTTTACGGGTCATTGTTTTTGCCATTTTATATTTTTTTCACCATCGCAATGCCGGATTTTTCATTTACATTCGGCGAGAGCTTGGTAAACAGTGTTGTGGCCGATGGCAAATTCACATATTGCCCCTGAACGCGACCCACTTTATATTCCTCTTGAATTCGTCTATAAAGCCTTGAAAAAAAAATATAAAAAATATTAATTAAAAAAATTACGTAATAAAGTCAGTGCTATTACCACGCAATTTAATAAGTTCATGTTATTCAATTTACTTGTGGATTTGAATAAATTCTCATGTTGCTCATTGCTGATTGCCACATTTTTTTCGTACCATATTACTGAAAGTGTGAAAGGGTAGCAGAGGGAATAAACGACAGGGTCTTAAGACTACTTGAAGCGTGCACGAGGGTCGGTAAATATCGACGATTATACGACTGCCGTATCGTTTCAAGCGAATAGCACAACTACCATCGTTACTGCTCGATTGGCCGAGAAAACTTGCTAGAATCATCGATATAACACTTGGATAATGGCTATAAAGATTGCACCGTCTGCTGAGAATTTTCGTATTAACTTTATGCTTTTTTTTGTTTTTCGATCATAAAATTGATCAGATCTCCTGATATTTAATTGATCCTTCGGTTTATTTGCTATTGATAGTGATATTTTGTCGGTTCTATTTTTTCTCGATGACATATGCTTTATTGGGAGAGAAAAATTTTTTATTACAAGTTATAAAATTAATTGATAACACTGAACGGAAAATAAAAATTTATCGATATACGTTGTAACCTTTTTAGTACATAAGTGAAGTTTTCTATGTATGGAAGGTTTATTCTATTTTAAACTATCACAATTCTAGAGAAAATAGAAAATTTTGTTATTTGTCAAAATGACATGGGTTAGAAAATTCGTACAAGTTAGGTTTGAAATTTTTATTTCAATTTTTTGTTATTACCGTTCAATGTTTTTTGATGAAAAATTTTTTTTTTCTAATTTGTCAACAATTTTCTCGTTATTTGGTAAAATAATCATATATATTTTTACAAACAATTCTCATTGATCAGTTTATATTTTGTACAGAATTGTTACATTAAATAGAAAAAAATATGGCAAAAACAGTATTCTATAAAAAACAGTGGAAATTTTGAATGTTTGAATAAAATATAATCAGAAGGAAACATTGAAAATAACTAGTATGTGAAAAAATAAATTTTTCAGTCGTTCAGATATTGAAATACAACAGAGTTTTGAATAATCTTTATTTCTATTGACCCAAGTCCTCATCATGATTCAATTAATTCAAAAATAATTTATAAGTGTTATATTAAATATTTCACAAATAAATCATTCAAATTAAAAATCGATTATGCACGATTGACATCCTTATGATTATTTATAACTATAACAAGTCCAATATTAACTTTTGTTAGAATTCTAAGAATAGGTCTGGGCTTAGTTTGTGTCCTGATGAAAAACTTCCCATTAATTGAAATCCGTAATTTTTTCATCTTTTGGTTTTTTTGTTTATAAAAAATTACTATTGTTTAAAACAATATACAATTGTTTGATTATATAATTGTCTAGAGTTAGATGAAGTTATTATTCAGCATATTACATTGACATCAGTTGTCAATAATTTTAATCATCTAATAAAGGCAATCTATTTCAAATGTCTTCTTTTCTCAACTTATTTTACACTCTTTGTGTTATAAAAAAAAACGGCTGGGTTGAATTTGTTCAAACTTTCAAATTTAAAAAATCAACCCCATTACAATAACTTTCTAAAGGGAAGTTAGAAATAGTTTCCTCTTAAATTACAATGACACTTGACGTAAAATCAAAGTGACTTTTTAATAAGTAGATTCAAAAATAACAGTGATAATAATGATAATCAACTGATGATACCAATTATCTTAGTTCGTAGAGCAAGTATATGATATATTATATGAAAACAGAGAACAGATAGCAAGCTTAACTTAAGGCAACGAATTAAGTAATGCATTATCCCAAGTTCTGTTGACTGATGCTTTGAAGTTTAGGTTGTACACTAAGAGGCTTCTGACAACCACAATTGTCTTTTTAAAAGCTCAAAAAGTAAAAAACAGATACCAGACCAAATGAGAAAATAAAAATAAACAAGTCAAAAGTGAATAAAGCTGGAAAAGTGACCCGCACCCTTGGTCTAACTACTTTCAAGTCAGTCTCGATCGTCGAAATGAAGTCCTTGAGTCGTAAAGTCTCTGTCGCCTAAAAGTTACTGATTCTTTCTCTCTTGCACTTTGGCTATCAAACCTCTTTTCTTCTATCGGACTTTCTTCAAACAAGCAAAAGATGAAAAATTGGTTGCTCGATCCTCCCTCAACGTCTTTTAAACTTTCTCTTCATCCTCTCTTTATCTTCTCCATCTTACTCAATCCTTCGCCACTGTCCGGCACCAAATATTCCAAGTCTCAGTGTCTGCTTTCTTTTCACCCAACATCAATGAACTTTGTATCTGGGCACACATGGCGCGTGTGTATCGAGGTTGAGTTAGTGACGGGCGGGCTGTCGCCAGTATGTGCCAGCTGTTTCACTACTAGCCAGGATTCCCCACCCTTATAGACTTCCTGCCACTCCTCTACTTTCCGCTTTTCCCTCACAACTATTCCATATCATCCACCACGACCTGAGCTTTAACAATCTCGTATGATGCGGGACAGACCTCTCGCTACTGCTTCTCTCTCTGAGTCCCAGCTGTGACGACGGTCGGCATATCATCGAAATATTTCTTCGAATTTTTAACTTTTTTCTCGCTCGTCATTTTACCCAAAACTTTCTTATATTTACCCCGAATCCATAAACAAACTTTATCAACTTTAACCCTCCCCCCTCTTACTCTCTTTATGTTCATCTCCCTTTGCGTAACAAAGAAAATCATGTACACACGTATATGAGTCGTTTGGTGGTATTTTTTTATGAAAGTTACACTCTGAAAAGTTGTATTTTAATATTGCGAATAAAAACATGTCCAATGTAATGAGTGAAAAAATATAAAAATGGCGAGGGGTGGAGAGAAAAAAAAATGGAAAGAGAGGAAGAAAATTGAGCACACATGTACGAATCCTCGCTTACATTAGTTCTTATGTCTTCAAAAAAAAAAAGGCAAACACCACGATGTTACGATTTCAATCTCAGTGAAACCTTTGCATTTTATGGGGTTACGATGTTTGCACAAGTCCGCTGAGAATATTGAACGTTGGCTTGTACTTAGAGCTTGACTTCTTGTTCCAAACCACAATGAAGTGGAAAAAGATTTTATAGAGATATTTTGCAAATATTTTTTTTTCTATGTCATTCTGTAAATCACTGGTCATTTTTAAATAGGATTGTGAACAATGTAGCTTTAGAGTTTGAATAGTAACAATACGAATTTACCCTCAGGATATTCATGAAAAAAATAGAAATATATTTTGGTACGTAAAACGAAACAGTTCAGAGTACAATTTTTGCTTTAAATCATCATGCCTAAGGTGTTGTAATTATTTATAGTCTTAATCGTTCTTCTTGAATTAAATAGAGCATAATAATTTCGTCAATTAAAATTTTAAATGAATTATTAAATTTATTAAAGTTATCAATGATTTCATTCAATTATAATAATTAAAAGGTGAATTTGAAAGTTATTAATATAAAATTAAATGGTTAAAGATCAAAATGCATCAGCAACAAAAACGAATGTAACGAAATATAATCCTGGAGTAAATGGCGAAGAGAATTAAACACTCGAAAATAATTAATTAAGCGCAAAAAAAATCATGGTGAATAAATAAAGAGAATAAACTCACAATGTTGCAATATTTAGAAGGAAATTCGTAGGTAGAAAATAGAGGAAATGGAGGTGATTTTAAAATAGTGGATCGAAATGTTTTTTATCACGAGGTACTAAGCGGTTATTATGGAGGATATTTTTTAATATCAACCATTGAGATTCTGTTTGCCAATGCGAATGCGGAGTGTGCACCATCGTGGGTTACACAATGGCGGGAAAATTAATCGCTGAAATCTGGGTACAATGTAAAAGAGTCGTGGTTGGATCCTTTGGTGAAGAGAACAAGTGAGAGAAGGAGAGAAAGCAGAAAAGAGTTGCAGAGGTGAAGGCTGGAGAAGAGAGGTTGGGTTAGAGGGTTATGAAAAAAACGGTATGACTTCACCGTGAGGCCATAAGTCAGCGATTTTCTCTCGGTACATTGAGTCAACGGTTAGGACGGGGCACATGAACATGTCACCAACACATTCTTCCGCCAAACGATTGCGCACTCGGTCCACACCGGAAGTCCGTCTTTACAGCTTCTTACACGCTTTATTCTTTTCTCTCTCGACGAGCAGACCAACGACTCTATAGAACACTGGACACTGTACGTCATTCTGTCTCGCGTTATCTCTAAATCCTTTCTCTTTCTCGGCAAGAAAAAATGAGAGAAACATTGGCCTTATCAAGAAAAAGATAGAACTAAAAGGAGGATGCTTCATGCCTTATATATGTTACTCGTTCAAA